CAGCTGGAACTCCAACGACGCAGTCAGCCACGTGAAATCCAGTGGTCCAACCTCTATGGCATTGACTGGTCCAAGCATTACTTATTTTTTATTGAGGTATAATCCATATAACAAAAAAATTCACCTTTTTCTAGTGTCTAATTATTCTTTTTTCTTCTTCCATATAATTCATTGTGCTATGCAACTACCCCCAAATTCTGGAATATTTTCTTTTTTTTTTTTGGAGAGGTTTTTGCTATAGGGTGCATGCATGCGCTCACCAGAAAGAGAGACAGAAAGCAAAAAATCACTTCCCAGGGGATGACCATACCACAGTCCCTTCTCCATTCTCCTCTTGGGATCTTGGGCATGCACGCACACGCACCCGGCATGAGTTTAAGCCACCAGGTCCGGGACTCGAACCATGATAGATTACATGGGAGTCCAGCGACATAGCCATTTCGTCAACTGCTGGTCCCAATTCTGTCTTTTGAAGCACAAAAGTTTTTTATTTTAGGCTAGCCTTCTAGCCTACTGGTTAAGGGAGCCAAATCCACACTGCTGATTGTAGTTTGAACCCAACCCTGGTGGCTTGAAAATATATGTATGTGTGCCCCAAATCCTTACAGGATGGAGGAATGGAGAAGAGATTGTGGAGTGAATGTGCCACATTGGGGGGTGTTTCTCCCCATTCCCTGTCTCTTTGCCTATCTTTGATGAGCACAAGCATCCCTGGCAATTAAACAAAAGGTTTCGAATTTTTATTTAGCCCAGTTTATCTTGTTTTTGGGGTTTGTTTGTGCCTTGTGGTTATTTCTGAGGAACCATTGCTTAAAATAAAACTGCAAGTATCTACACCTATGTTTCCTTTTACAACTTTCAGATTTGACATTAAGATCTTTGATCTTGGGATCAGGTGGTGGTGCAGTGGTGATGCAGCTGGACCCACATAAAAATGGTTCTTGAGTGTCAGTGAAAGACCTGTCTAAGCGTTGTCAGTGGGTATACCTGTGATCCAGGCCTGCTAGAACGGGGGTGGATTATGGTGTGAGTACCCTGTTGGGGGTAACTTTTCTTTGTCTTTTGCTCTCATGGAAGAAATAAATAAATTCTTTCTTTAATAAAGTTCTTTGACCTGTTTTGAATTAGTTAATTTTCATATGTGGTTGGTGTTAAGTGCGAGTCCTAGACCTGACGGCTTAATACTCACACATGTGGGGACCAGCAGTTGGCGTAATGGCTATGTCACTGGACTTCCATGTAGTCAACCACGGTTCGAGGCCCAGGCCCAGTGGCTTAAACTCAAGCCTGGTGCGTGTGTGTGCGTGCCAAAGATCCCAAGAGGAGAATGAAGGAGAAAGGATTGCGGCGTGGCCATACCCCCTGGGGAGTGATTTCTCACTTTCTGTTTCTCTCTCTCTTTGTCTTTCTGGCAAGTGCACGTGCCCGATAGTGAAAACAAAACAAAACAAAACAAAAATCACACATGTGCCTGTGCACCCAACATCCCTAGAGGAGAATGGAGAATGGATTGCTATGTGGCCATCCCTCCTGGGAGATGATTTCTCACTTTCTGTCTCTCTGTCTCCCTGTCAATCACATATGATCTATAGGAAAAATCTCTCTCTCAAAGAAAGAGTACATTATTATTGTTATTTTAAGATTTTTTGCCATAGGGTGCGTATGTTCACCAGAGAGAGACAGTGAGAGGGAAAGTTGAGGATTCACCATCCCCCTCTCCCCCATATCCCCGAGGGGGATGGCCATAACATAATCCCTTCTCTTCCATTCTCCTCCTGGGATTTTGGGCACACACCAAGCTGCTGGGTCTGGGACTCAAACCGCGTTCAGCCATGTTGGCGTCCAGTGCCTAACCACTATGCCATGTGCTGGCTTCTTTTAAGAGTAATTCATTTAATTTCTACATGTCTGTGTCCAATTTTTGCAGCTTTAATCTCTAAATTTTAATCTATTGTAGTCAGAAAACATACTTTGTATGAGTTCGGTCTTTTAAGATTTATTGAGCTTATTTTATGGTTTGAAATATCCATTTTGAAGAATGTTTCATGCATATTTGAGAAGAATATATATTTTGCTGTTGTTGGGTGGAATTTTCTGCTGTTATGTTAGGTCTAGATACTATAATATATAACCTTGAAATTTCCTGTTCCCCTGTTGATCTTCTGTCTAGTTCTTTTCAGTATCGAAAGTAGAAATCTTAAAGTTTCCAACCATTATTGTTGAATTGTTTATTTTCCCCTTTTTTATACCATGTATTTTGGGGCTCTCTTGTTAGGCAAATTATGTTTATAATTGTTATATTTTGATGAATTAAGCCTTTGTCATTATAATGTCCTTCTTTGTCCCTAGTAACAATTTTTTAAAAAAATTTATTCATTCATTCATTTATTTTAATTTGACCAGAGAAATACAGAAAGAGAGACAGACAGAGAGAGAGGGAAAGTGAGAAAACAAGCCACCAGGTCCAGGTCTTGAAACATGGTTGGCTATGTGGGAGTATCCAGCGCCTTAACCACCATGCCACCTGCTGGCCCCCCTAGTAACAATTTTTATCTTAAAGTTTTATATTGTCTGATATTGGTATAGCCATTTAATCTGTCCTTTGGTTTCTGTTTGCATAAAATATATTTTTCATTCTTTGATTTCTACCTACTTATGTCTTTAAGTCTTATGTCTTTTAAGTAGTTTATTTGAGAGATGCTTTTAGCGTTGTCTTTTACAGTGTTGTAATGTCATCAAGAAACTTTGATTATTATATTTTTGAGCTATGTTGTGTTGAATAAGGTAGCCAAAGCTACATGCTTGGAGAATATGTAAACTAGAAAGATTTCTTTTCCCCTAGTTTTGTGTGTTGAATGACTCTTTTCTCAGGGACAAAAAAAAAAATTATATATATATGCACATACTATTATTAATTTTTTTTTCAATCATCAATTGACTGTAGTGGTGTCACATTTCTATGAACTTGTAGCCGGACTAATATAGGGAGAAGCACAAACAGATCAGTCAAGGTAAAGATGGGTATAATACATATATACCTGTGTGTGTGTATGTGTGTGTGTGTGTGTGTGTATATGTATGTATGTACTCAAGTTTTTTTCTTTTTAAAAAATTTTTTACAGAGATTTTTGTTAAAAGGTGCATGGCCTTGCCAGAGAACCAGAGAGCCAGAAAGTGAGAAATCACCCCCTGAGAGAATGGCCACACTGCAATCCCTTCTCCTCTATTTTTCTCTCATGATTTTGGGCATGCACGCACACTTGCCTGGCGTGAGTTTTAAGCTGCCAGATCTGGGTCTCAAACTGTGGTCGACTGGGAATCCAGCGACATAACCATTACACCAACTGCTGGTCCCAGTTTTTTTTTTTTTTTTTTTTTTCTTTCTTGAGAAGTTCACAGAGACAGGAACCCTGCACAGGGTCTCATGCTGTTACCTTCCTCCCAGCAAACAGGATCACATGTGTGTGCCTCTGGCATGTGCAGGTTGACCCCGGAACTGAATCCCCTGATCTTCTATGTGATTTCTAGCTTTGCAGAGTCATGTGCTACCAAAGCGACTAGATACAAAGCAGGGATCCCTAATTTCTGGCAGTATTGCGTTCTGTGGGCCTATTGGGGCTTGGGCTGTGGATGGTGCCAATCTGCTGGATCTGAGGGGGTGGGAGATGGGAGCATGGAGCAGGCAATCAAGTGATGCTTTATCTGTATTTGCAGCCACTCCCCATCACTTTCATTACTTCCTGAGCTCTGCTTCCTGTGTGATCAGCAGTAGTACTGGATTCTTGTGGGAATACGAACCCTATTGTGTGATTGTTTCGTTGAATATTGGGATGTTTTATTAGTGGAAATGGGGTGTATGGTGGATGTGGTACACTTGAGTCATCCTGCGACCAACCTTGCCCCACCCCTCCCAGTCTGTGGAATATTGTTTTCTATGAGGCAGATCCCTGGTACCTGGAATGTTGGGGACCACTGACCAAAAGGGATAGTTTTTTACAAGTATAATCAGGTTAATGATAGCAGTTTGAAAGGAGTACATATGTGGACTAGAATTAAAAAGAAAATTTTGGAGAGGAGAGTAACTATTAAAATTTTTCTAGGAAAAAATTTCCCTTTATAGGGTAAAATCTCTTTGTAGAGATTTTAGATGGAAACTTGGAAGGAATCAAACCTGCTGATACTTCAGGGAGTTCTTAAAGAGTCTTCCTCCTCCTACTCCTGCCTTTCTCCTTTCTTTGTGATCCAGTAATATCAAAAGTCTGGTAACAATAGGATAATCCCACTGGGTGAGAATGAGTAATGAGTTGACCCAGAGAGAAGTTGAAATACAGATGCAATGGCAGATGGCTTTAAATTGTATTGTGCTGAAGACCTACTTGGGAGAGAAGTAGGTAGAAATGCCAGGGTCACAGGATCATGGCCTTTGGAGGAAAAAAATAATAGAAATAGTTATTCTTTATTGAGTATCTGTTCTACATATTCAAATAGCATTATTCCACAGAGTATAAGAGACCAATAGAGGTAGGGTGGATGAATTCAGATTCTAAATCTATGATTTTCAAGCCTTTTAGAGCTGCAGATTACTTTTTTTTTTTTTTTTTCCTGTAGGGATATTTATGTGGAACCCAATATATACTGCAGATAAAACCTATATTGATTGAAATTAGGGTAAAAGGACCTGAACTTCAGGTCACTCAGCTCCTTTTTCTTCTTATTCTTTGAAACTCTGATGCACTAGAGTTCTGTAGAGTTCTGTAAAACTCTAGTTTGCAAATTAAAGCATTTCACCACACTTCTTTATTACATGGTGATAATGGTTGAAAGTTGCCCAAAAAATATACTGATACCTTCTGTTTGGTATTAGGCAGCCCATTTCATGAAATGGATGTTGGATGTTGATAGTGTTGACACACAAACTTGTACTTATGTTCATAATCAACACTTTTTTTTTTTTTAATCAAAAGTGCACTTTTAAGGACTTAATTTTCTTTGCGTTAAAGGTTGTGGCAGCATTGCCTGAAGATATGAGACCAGGTCCTAGTCCCTATGGTTTTCCATGGGAATTGGCGATGTGTGTGGCTATTGTTGGATTTCTTGCTGTTCTTTTATTTTTGTGGAGAAGTTTTCGATCGGTGAGTAACCATTGCTATACTCCAAGAATGTTACTCTGTCTTTAGGTTGAACAAATAATATAAGAAATACATTTTTTATTTTAAGGGAACAAGTTAGGATGTAGTTATATGGGTAACTAATGTTAATGTGTTTATACTAGAAACAATATGAATTTAGAGGAATATTTTAAGTTTAAAAATTTTAGAGAAATCTATCGTTCAAGTATTTTGTATTAATACTGAAGCTGTGCCTTTGTTTTTAAATATTTTTTAGTCTGTGTTTGTTTTTTATCATTATACTAAACGTCTTCATATGTATCGTTCAATTTGGAATCAGAAACATTGAACGTCACTCACATTTAGGTGAAGCGCCATCATTTCATTCATTGTCCTGTTTCCTTGTACTAGAGGTGACCCTGTCCTGGGTCCTGTGTTGTTAATTCCCACATATTAATTTATTTTTTAAAATTTTTAATTTAACTTTATTTATTCATTTATTTATTTTAGTTTGACGAGAGAGGGACAAAGTGTGTATGTGAGAGAGAGAGAGAGAAACTGAGAAAGCAAGCCATCACTTCCAGGTCTCGAACTGTGGTCAGTCATGTGGGAGTCCAGCACCCTTAACCACCATGCCACCTGCTGGCCCCAATTTTTTTTTTTTTTTTTTTAGAAGCTGAACTATATGTATGATCTTTCAGAATCAGAGTACGTGGGCTGGCTCTGTGGCCTAGTGGTTAAGGGAGAAGATCCTACGTGGCTTAGTGCAGTTTGAATCCTGGCCCCAGCGCCTTGAGAAACATGCTGTGTGCATGTGCATGTATGACCAAAATCCCAAAAGTATTTGGGAATGTTAGCATTACAAGTCTAAAGTTCTATCCTTTTAATACTTTAAAACCTATTCCCTTGTCTTTTTGTATTTAGTCTTACTTATTGAAAAGTTTAATGTCAGTGTGTGCCATACTTATTTGTAAGTAACATGTTCTCTATGGAGGATTTTTATTTTTAAATTTATTTCATTATTTTTATTTATTTATTAATTAGTTTTTTTTTTTTTTTTTTTTTTTTTTTTTTTTTATTTTTTTTTTTTTTTTTTTTTTTTTTTTTTTTTTTTTTTTTTTTTTTTTTTTTTTTTTTTTTTTTTTTTTTTTGCCATAGGGCATGTAGGCTTTTGGGAGAGAGACAGGGAAAAGTGAGAAATTGCCACCTGGGGGAGGAGGGTAGGACCACTCTGCAGTCCCTTATCCTCTATTCTACTCTTGGGATTTTGGGCATGCATGCACTTGCACCTAGCATGATTTTCAAGCCACTTTGTCCATGCTCAACCATGTGAGAGTCCAGCACCTTAACCACCATGCTACCTGTTGACCCCATTTTAATTCATTTTTTAATAGCCGAAATTGCCACCTGGGGGAGGAGGGTAGGACCACTCTGCAGTCCCTTATCCTCTATTCTACTCTTGGGATTTTGGGCATGCATGCACTTGCACCTAGCATGATTTTCAAGCCACTTTGTCCATGCTCAACCATGTGAGAGTCCAGCACCTTAACCACCATGCTACCTGTTGACCCCATTTTAATTCATTTTTTAATAGCCAGAGGTTGTGTGCCCTTGCCAGACAGACAGACAAGGCGAGGGAGAAAGCACCCTCTGAGGGGACATGATCTAACTGCAGTCCTTTCTCCATTTCTCCATCTTGTTGGGACTTTGGGCATACATACACATGGTGCCCAGCATGTTCTTCAAGCTACTGAGGCCAGGATTCAAACAGCATGGTCAGCCATGTGGGATCTAACTCCATTAACCAGGCCATGGGCCTGGGCCTATGGAAGCTTTTTAGAATCTTTCAATTTGAAGGACTAGCAGTTAGCATAATGGCTATGCCTCTGGACTCCCACCTAGTCGACTGTGGTTCGAGTACCGGACCCGGTGGCTTAAATTCACGCTGGACGCGTGTGCGTGCGTGCCCAAGATCCCGAGAGGAGAAAGGAGGAGAAGGGATTGTGGTGTGGCTATCCCCCTGGGGGGTGATTTCTCTCTTTCTGTCTCTGTGTCTCTCTTTCTGGTGAGCACATACGCCCTATAGCGAAAACCTCTCCCAAAAAAAAAAAA